TTGATTTTGTAAATATTGCCGGTATTTTTAACGACCATTCTGTTAAAGAACAAATTCCAGGATATTTTGATAATACTGAGCTCCCTCTTATTTGTTATATTTACAAGAAATCTACCGGGAAATTTGTGTTTAATTATAGCCAATTGTGTAAAGATGTTAATATCAGTGAAAATACACCTACTTCATGTAATTGCAGTAATTCCGAATACATTTATGGACCCATTTCCCATGTTATAACAGGAGATCTTAACATCGTTCAAGACCGAGAGTTAAAATCATTCCTCAGTAAAGGACCTAAATATCGTCCCCCGTCAATTATTAATTGGAATGAGTGTCGTAATATCATCCACGACTCACTCCATACTTACTGTTTGAAATGGATAAAACGGGAAAAAGCTGACAAAAAATCTTTGGACTCTTTTTTTAAATCAGTAATGAACATAGTTGATATACGTATTCAACATTTTAAAGAACATTTTACTCTTAACAATAACAACAATAAACCTATTTCTCGTATCAAACATAAACTAAAAGAACTAGCCAAGGAATTTGTTTTTGTCCTGGCCGATAAAGCTGCTAATAATATTATTATTGTTTGACGTAAATTTTACATTGAGGTTCTGAAAAAAGAAATCACCAATTCTCCAACATTCCAACTGACTCCATTTTCAGAAAACGACATCCGTAACAAACATAAACTTTTAGCTACCGCTTTACAAGCAGAACCAAATACAATGAAAGTCCCAACTATGTATTGGCTTCCGAAGCTACACAAAACACCTTACAAATATAGATTCATTTCGTCTTCAAGCCATTGTTCCACTACTAAATTGTCTATTCTTCTTACCAGTACACTTGGTACAATCAAAAACCTGATAATAAATTGTTCAAATAAGGCCTTCGAAAATAGTGGAATTAATTACTTTTGGAGTGTCAAGAACTCGTTGGAAGTACTTGATAAATTGCATGCATATATTGGTGATTTTGAATCTGTTCAAAGTTTTGATTTTTCTACCCTATATACCACATTGCCTCACATTCTCATTAAGAAATAATTCACACACCTAATTAAATGGGCATTTAAAAAGTCAGAATGTGAATATATATGTTCAAACTCTTTTAGGTCATTTTTTAGTAGCAATAAACAAAAAAACTATGTCAATTGGACATGCTTTGATACTATATATGCCCTTGAATTTTTACTAGATAACATTTTTGTTTGCTTTGGAGATTCCGTATATCGTCAGGTTATCGGAATTCCAATGGGGACTAACTGTGCACCACTTATTGCGGACCTTTTTTTGTATTGCTATGAGTTACAATTTATGACAAAAATCAGCAAAGACCCATCGAAACAACATCTGATACACAAATTTAATAATACTTTTAGATATTTGGATGATATTTTGGCTCTCAATAATGACGACTTCAGTATGTATACCAAAGAAATTTATCCTGTTGAACTTACTTTAAATAAAGCTAATACTAACAATGACCACTGCCCTTTCCTCGATCTTGATATCTATATCATTAACGGAAAGCTTAATACTAAAATATATGATAAAAGAGATGATTTTTCATTTCCTATCATTAATTATCCATTTTTAGATGGTGACGTTCCCTTGTCACCATCTTACGGTGTTTATATATCTCAACTTGTACGATTTGCTCGTGTATGTAACAATGTTTTAGATTTTAACGAGAGAAATTTATGTATTACTGAAAAATTATTACACCAGGGTTTTCGATATCATAAACTTGTCAAAACATTCACTAAATTTTATCATCGGTATAAGGACATCATTCGTAAATATAGCTCAACATGCAGACTTCTTATACGTTCAGGTATTTCACATCCAATTTTTTATGGAAATATTCTTTATAGAGCACAAAAATGTCAGTATTCACCTCTGAAGCTAACAAAACCTTTAAATAGACTTATTAAGAAGGGATATAGTTACGATACTGTTGTCAGGTCATTAAAGATTGCATATTTTGGCGTAAATATTGATTCACTTATAGGGTCTTTGCATCGGCACTAAACACATTTATTTAAAAACCAGTTGTTGGCATGACACGGGTTATGTTCTTCTCATATATGTTATGATGGGATACTAAACCCCTAACGGGAAGGATTGTGCCTGATATTCATATGATGAAGACATAATCTTTCAATCAGTTTAATTGAAGTCTGGAGCTGGCATGTCAGTTAACTGCTAGTAGTCTGTTGTTATTTATGTATTATTGTCATTTGGTTTATTTTCTTTGGTTACATCTTCTGAAATCAGACTCGGCCTTCTCTTGAACTGAATTTTAATGTGCGTATTGTTATGCGTTTACTTTACTACATTGGCTAGAGGTATAGGGGGAGGGTTGAGATCTCATAAACATGTTTAACCCCGCCGCATTTTTGCGCCTGTCCCAAGTCAGGAGCCTCTAGCCTTTGTCAGTCTTGTATTATTATTAATTTTAGTTTCTTGTGTACAATTTGGAGTTTAGTATGGCTTCATTATCACTGAACTAGTATATATATTTGTTTAGGGGCCAGCTGAAGGACGCCTCCGGGTGCGGGAATTTCTCGCTGCATTGAAGACCTGTGGGTGACCTTCTGCTGTTGTCTGTTCTATGGTCGGGTTGTTGTCTCTTTGACACATTCCCCATTTCCATTCTCAATTTTATGTATTTTGATGTATAAATGTAAACTATATACATGTATTTTTTATCAGGGCCTCAATAAAAATTAGACTAGTTCTAATTGAGTTACCCTCTTTAAATAAAGAATTTATTATTATTATTATCCATACAATTATACTTAAGTTATTGTCTGGAAAAAAATGTCTTCGTAAGGTGACGACACCGACAACGTCATAACATTATATGACTGCAAAATTTTGCGGTATTATAGTTACTCAGTATTTTGGTAATCTACTTTATCAAGTTAAAAGCTAGGCTACATTATTTTGGGGTGTCCAAACATGATCCCCTTTTTCACATCCCATCAGTATCATATGCTTATTTTAACTCTTATGAAGGAGTCCCTTCTTATTTCATAGGCTGAAGCCCAGAGTTTTACAAGGGTCATAAATTTAAGAATAGGTGCTGCAACAATTGATGCAGCCAAAGTCTTTATCATCAAAAAATGCATTTAAAAATTACATTAGAATAAATACATTCTGATTATGTTTTAGCAGAGGTCAACAGTGCCAATCATTGACACTGCTAAAAAGGTACTTTCTAGTAGATGTCAACAGGGCTTGCTCTATATTTTAGTACTTTTTGTTTATGGCATATCCCCCATCTGGTAATTAAATTCATTTAGAGAAGATCCCTCTTCTTATGTTATTACAAATAGAGGTCAACAGGGCTTGCTCAATATTCTCCTTTTTTAACGTTATTTGGAAAGTTACATATTGTTGTTTAATTCATACCATATGCCAGGGATATGTAAGGGTCAAAAGGGTTCGCCTTACATTGACATGTCTAAAATTTAAGGTAGAGCGTCAACAGAGCTTAATTGTTCTGCCTTTTTATAATTTTATTTCGAATACAGACATTGAGCAAATTTGTAATATCATATAGATTTATTTTTGTAAGGTAGTCCTAAATATGATTGATATAATTGCCTCTGGACATTAAGCTAGCAACAATCAATCAATTTCATCATAGGTTAGAAAGATAACTTCTGCTGACAAAGATATGTTACAAAATTTGTCATTTTTTTCACAACATAAAATTTTATACCCAAAATTCGACAGCAGTAATCAATTTGGAATAGCATATAGTTTACTTATTTGGTTGAAATAATAAAATAAAAATATATTTCCCAAAATTTATGATTTTTCAACAAAAAACAATTTTTAACTTTTGGCACCTGGAATTAATTTGGAATAGCTCATTACATATATATTAATTTTGTTATAATCTAGCACAAAAAAAGATTCCCTTCCAATTTGTTATTTTATTAACATTAACTAAATATTTACCACATTTCATCCCCCCTCCCTCCTGCCTCCATGTTATAAGATTTCTATAGCTAATAAACAGCTGCGCCATGAGCGCATGATACGCCTGTCACATTTTCAAAGAATAAAGATCAATAAAGTTTAATTATTTCTCAATGTCATATTAGAAATTTATGAAAATCAAAAGGGAGCTTACATCAATAGATATAAACAATCCACCAAAGTTTCATGAGAATTGCTGACAGCATTTTTGAGTTATTGTCCGAAAACTGGAAAATCCCCCCTTTTTTAATGAATAAAACCCCACAACTCAGAAATGTAAAATGTAATATTTATAAAATTCTAAAGGGAGCTTACATCAATAGATATAAACAATTCACTAAAGTTTCATAAGAACTGCTGAAAGCATTTTTGAGTTTTTGTCCGAAAACTGGAAAATCCCCCTTTTTTTATGAATAAAACCCTGTAACTCGGAAACGTAAAATCTAAAATTTATAAAAATTTAAAGAAAGCGCAGGTCAATAGATATAAACAATTCACAACAATTTCTTGCAAGTTGGTGAAAGCATTCTTGAGTTATTGTCCGAAACTGGAAAATCCCCCTTTTTTTAATGAATAAAACCCCATAACTCGGAAACGTAAAATTTAAAATTTATAAAAAACGAAAGGGAGCTCACGTCAATAGATGATATAAACAATTCACCAAAGTTTTATGCAAATTGGTTAAAGCGGTTTTGAGTTAATGTCCGACATGTTGACGACGGGCGGACGGACAGACGGTCAATGGTTTACGGGCGTATAAAAATTTGTGATTTATAAATAATACTCTGTTGATTCAGAGACAAGTTTTCTAGCACAATTTTTATCCAAATTTAACAACAATCAAAGAGACCTTCTTTTATAGATATCAATAACATGTATTAAAATCATGGAACTCTGTTCTGACTAATTGAACGCTATAGAAGTGATTACTACAGAGCAATGCCTACTTGTTAACGGTACCCTAATTAATTTAAATATGATAAACTGAAAACCTACCTCATGGAGTGCTTTAGCATCATGAAAATTCTGCTGGCTTATCTGGAATCCAAATGAATTTTTAGGTGTAGGTCCATCTATCTGGGAAACATTTCTTTTCTGTACAGGTGTTGCATATTGCTAAAAGAACACAAAATAACACCTACACAAATCAAATTAAAAATAGAATTAAACATCATTGTTTGTTCTCATATTCATGGCAACTGTTAAGCAAAACAATGAACGGTTGATTAAAAGTGCCTTTATCATGGTTAGATTAACAAGCTAAATATTACAATCCTAAGTAAGGGTCTTGATTTATCATCCAAAAAAAACCCCTTTTTTCTGCATATATTTCAGTTCATTTTTAGTATCTATGAATTTAATCTTAAAGGTGTGAACTCAAGTTTGTCTTGTAAGATATAACCATAAACCTTAACCTTGTCTTGCTGATCATTTTTGCTGTAAAATTTCTATCTATCTATTACAGTTTTTAAGATATTAGGCAAAAACGCTGAAAAATGGTAAAAATCGTTATTAAAGAGCAATAACTCCAATACGGAGTCGCCTGACGATTTCAGCCTTGTTTGCTTATTTGTAGATCTTGTCTTGCTGATCTCTTTTTCTAATTAAATATTCTTTCTATCTATTATTGTTTTCAAAATAATCAGCTAAAATGAAAATAAAGAGCTGCACCATGAGCGCATGATACACCCGTTGCAGTTCAAAGAATAAAGTTCCATAACTCCTCAATGTCATATCAGAAATTAATAAAAAAAAACTAAAAGGAGGTTATTTTAATAGATATAAACCAGTCACCAAAGTTTCATAAAAACTGCTCAAAGCACTTTTGAGCTATTGTCCAAAAACTTGAAAATACCCCCTTTTTTATGAATAAAATCTCATAACTCGGAAACGTAAAATCTAAAATTTATAAAAATCAAAAGTGAGCTTACATCAATAGATATAAGCCATCCACCAAAGTTTCACGAAAACTTAAACCTCAATACAAATAGTTGACGCAGTCTCCGCCGCTGCCGCCACAGGCAAGACAAAAATCAGATTGATAAGAAGCACAAAAGCATAAAAGACACAAAGTATAGATCTGAGAAATTTACTGAAAGCTAGACCAAAGCCAATAACAACTAATAAAAAAATCATGTACCCAAGACTAAAATGTTGATGAGTACACATCCAACATCCAATGGATTTAGTGTAAAGATGTCATTAACAGTCAAAGAAAAATATGCACCTGTGCAATGCAATATAAAGGTTTCGACAGATTATAGAACCATGAATGTACATAAGTGTATAACAATAATATCTAGTTGGCTTTTAATCTATTGATAACAAAATCAAAATTCAATTCGTTAATAAAATGCTCCGCAGGGCGCAGCTTGATACGACCGCAGAGGTCGAACCCTGAACAGTTGGGGCAAGTATGGACACATCATTCTAGCTTGATACAGCTTTGCATTTGGATTGTGATTAAATATTTGACACAGCATAGGTTTCTGACACAGAATGAATGTGGACTAACTTAAAAATTTTAAATTGGACATTCACCTATTATGGTCCAATATCCAAAATCTAAATACATGGTTAGATTCAGCATATCAAAGAACCCCAAGAATTCAATTTTTGATAAAATCAAACAAAGTTTAATTTTGGACCCTTTTGACCTCAATGTGGACAAAGTTGATAACGGGGCCCAAAAATCAAAAATCTAAATACATGGTTAGATTCAGCATATCAAAGAACCCCATATATTCAATTTTTGTTGAAATCAAACAAAGTTTAATTTTGGACCCCGATTTGGACCAACTTGAAAACTGGGCCCATAATCAAAAATCTAAATACATGTATAGATTCAGCATATCAAAGAACCATAAGAATTCAATTTTTGTTAAAATCAAACTAAGTTTAATTTTGGACCCTTTGGACCTTTATGTAGACCAATTTGAAAACGGAACCAAAAATTAAGAATCTAAATACACGGTTAGATTCGGCATATTAAAGAACCCCAATAATTCAATTTTTGATGAAATCAAACAAAGTTTAATTTTGGACCCTTTGGACCTCAATGTGGACCAATTTAAAAACGGGGCCCAAAATCCAAAAACTAAATACACGGTTAGATTCAACATATTAAAGAACCCCAAGAATTCAAGAATAAAACCCCATTGAAATTGGTCAAGAAATAAGCAATTTATACGAAGTATCTTCTTTTGCACAATACTGTGCAATTAAATATTTCTTGCTTTTGCGCAATACTGTACAATTGACAATTTCTTGCTATTGCGCAATATTGTGCTATTGGATATTTCTTGCTATTGCGCAATACTGTGCATTTGAAGATTTCTTGCTATTGCGCAATACTGTGCAATTGAAGATTTCTTGCTATTGTGCAATACTGTGCAATTGAAAATTTCTTGCTATTGCACAATACTTATTATATAATAATTTACACATCCTGTTTAGTGTGTATCTCCTACCATATCATTATTATTTGCTTTTAAATATAAATCAGAAATAACCAACTTAAAATGGAAAATTTTAAAAGAAAAAAAAAGGAAAAAAAGAAAAAAAAGGAAAAAAAGAAAAAATCCCCCCCCAAAATTTTTTGAACCCCCTTATGATTCATCACCCCCAAACTCAATCCCAGCCTTCCCTTTGTGGTATGGTACCTTGCAGTACAATTTCAGATAGATCCATACACTTGAACACAAGTTATTGTCTGGAAACTAGAAAAATGTGTTTTTTTACCCCTTTTTGGCCCCAAATTCCTAAACGTTTAGGGCAATTACCCCCAAACTCAAACCCAGCTTTCCCTTTGTGATATGGAACCTTGTAGTACAATTTCAGAAAGATCCATACACTTACACACAAGTTATTGTCCTGAAACTAGAAAAATGCTTGTTTTTTGCCCCTTTTTGGCCCCTAATTCCTAAAATATTGAGGCAATTACCCCCATCATCAATCCCAGCCTTCCCTTTGTGGTATGGAACCTTGTGGTACAATGTCAGAGAGATCCATACACTAACACACAAGTTATGTCTGGAAGTTACAAAAATGCTTATTTTTGGCCCCTTTTTGGCCCCCAATTCCTTTACTGTTGGTACCATAACCCCCAAAATCAATCCCAACCTTCCTTTTGTGGTATTGAACCTTGTGGTAAAATTTCATAGAGATCCATTCATTAAAACTAAAATTAGAGTGCGAAAACCAATGTGTCTTCGGACGACGACGACGACACCAACGTCTTACCAATATACGACCACAAAAATTTTTTTGCGGTTGTATAAAAACAATATTCAAAGATCCAATTACATTGTTGAATTGGAAACCTTTTAAAATAAGTTATTGAAATGATCAATAAGTTTACCTGGATCATATCTAAATTATGGGCTCAGTAAACAACATCACTGTAAAAATTAGGATGTGCTATCCTGTTTCTATTAAGTTTTCTACAGGTACAGCCAAACTTCTAAACCTAATCCTTATATCTATATAAGAATTTAGTAAAAGGTTTTAAGTAATTTGTGGTTACAAAATCTTCGACTTATATAATATACCCTAAAACATATGCATTCATTGAAATCCAAAACATTACTACAGACAGCGGCATAGTGAACGAGTGACATATAAACACCTTTAGAAGGTGCCAAAGGAACATCAACGTCCAAAAAAGGAAAATTAACAATAGGGAAGAAAAAATCGTCCCTTTTGTCGTAAATTTTTGAGAAGAGTTACCTGTGTACCCTAATAAAATCACAGAGATATGTCTCGCTTTTTGGTTATTGCGATAATGCAAATGTTGAAATTAAAATAGCAACACTTTAACATGTAAGTTTTGCAAATATTCAAAGTCAATGAATCATGACTGAAGGTACATGGCCAAACAATCTCCATGGAAATGAGATGTTCCAATGCTAATACAACTGCATACCAAAAACCATTGACTTATCATAAGTAGTTCCCTTTAAACAAACCTAAACACAAACTAATACATGTAAACTAAGCAAAATTTCAAATTCAACAAGAAATGATTGTAACAGGATGCTGTTACGAAGTTTCCCAAACGAAGCTCCCATAATTCGTAATTCCCAAGGTCGCCTGACATTGGGCAACGTCCAGTGAAAATTGGTTTGGTCCAGTAAAGTTATATGCATTAGTGATGCCTGGGGACTAACCTTGTAGATCATTCAAATCATCTTGACATGACAAACCAGAATATATATGGTTTAGGGGTGGGGATCTCAACCATTTACAAGATACTAGAACATTGGGGGTGGGGAGCAACCCCTGGGGACTGGCCCTATACGTCATTCAAATGTTCATTACATGAGGAACAGGAATATATATGGTTTAGGGGTGGGGATCTCAACCATTTACAAGATATTAGAACATTGGGGGTGGGGGGAACCCCTGGGGTTTGACCGTATACATCATTCAAATGTTTGAGACATGACAAACCAGAATATATATGGTTTAGGGGTGGGGATCTCAACCATTTACAAGATATTAGAACTTTCTCAAATGGCAGGGGGTCGGGATGACCCCTGGGGACTAACCCTGTATATCATTCAAACCATCTTTGCATGACAAACCAGAATATATATGGTTTAGGGGTGGGGATCTTGACCACTTAGAAGATATTAGAACTTTCTTAAATGGCAGGGGGTGGGGTGACCCCTGAGGACTAACCCTGTATTTCATTTGATGTGCTTTATCATGACAAACCAGAATATATATGGTTTAGGGGTGGGGATCTCGACCATTTACAAGATATTAGAACTTTCTCAAATGGCAGGGGGTCGGGATGACCCCTAGGGACTAACCCTGTTTATCATTCAAACCATCTTAGCATGGCAAACCAGAATATATATGGTTTAGGGGTGGGGATCTTGACCACTTACAAGGTATTAGAACTTTCTTAAATGGCAGGGGGTGGGGGTGACCCCTGGGGACTAACCCTGTATTTCATTTAATGAGCTTTATCATTTAGAACATTTTCAATTAAAAAGATTGTGTCTATCACAAACGGTTTTCAATTTATAATCATTTGAAAATTTAAAAAAATAAAATCCCATAGGGTTCTACAGTAAAACCCTCTTTTCTTTTTGCCCCTCAAAGTACCCCTTTATAAACCCCATTGCACAAACAAAACCCTGATTGCACCACTAGACATGTTAGTCTAACATATTGTGAAACCCTAAGTTAATCTGACAAGCGGTTTTGGAGAACGGGTGCGGACAAGTTCAAATTTAAAAGCGGCTGAAGAAGAAGAAGAAGAAGAAGAAGAAGAAGAAGAAGAATAATAATAAGAATAATAATAATAATAAGAACTGAGCAAAAACAATAAGTCATCCTAAACTTCGTTTGTGAGACTTAATAAACCATAACTGAGGGGGCTGGGTCAAATAATCTCCATTGTAATGAGATGTACCAATGCTAATACAACTGCATACCAAATATCATTGACCTACCACTAGTGGTTCCCCATAAACCGACCTAATCACAAACTAATACAAGAAAACTAAGCAAAAGTTTCAAAGTCAATAGACCATGACTGAGGGGGCGGGGCCAAATAATCGCCATGGAAATGAGATATACCAATGCTTATACAACTGCATACCAATTATCATTAACTTACCACTAGTGCTTCCCCATAAACTGACCTAATCACAAACTAATACATGAAAACTAAGCAAAAATTTCAAAGTCAATAGACCATGACTGAGGGGGTGGGGCCAAATAATCTCCATGGAAATGAGATATACCAATGCTTATACAACTGCATACCAAATATCATTAACTTACCACTAGTGGTTCCCAATTAATTGACCTAATCACAAACTAATACATGAAAGCTAAGCAAAAATTTCAAAGTCAATAGACCATAACTGAGGGGGCGGGGCCAAATAATCTCCATGGTAATGAAATGTGCCAATACTAATACAACTGCATACCAAATATCTTTAACTTACCACTAGTGGTTCATCATAAACTAGACCTAATCACAAACCAATACATTGTTGACGCCGCCGCCGCTGCCCCCGTCGCCATTGACGCCGGAAACAGCATACCTATGTCTCGCTTTTTGACTCCGTCAAGCGAGACAAAAATGAAATATCTAAATCTAGGAAAGGATACTTATTGCTGTTTATATGTGATTTATTTTCAGAAGTTCTTTTGCGTAAATTTTGGCTCTATATTTAGAGTATTCTTCATTGTTTAATGAAAAAATTCATCAAATAAGGGTAAGTATTGTTGAATTTATCAGATTTTATTATGTATCATAGTGTAAATTTTAATCTTAAAACAAATGACTGGTTTGTCTCTACATACTTGTAACTCAATTGACAATTCTCCCTTCCTGGTGTTAACAGCCTCTCTTCTGGACAAAGGAGCCACTTTCTTTAAATGGTTTATTGGTGTACAAGCAGGCAAGACAAGATCATCATTTCTAACTTTTGTCAGAGGTGTACTGTGTAGTGCCTGGTGACCATCAGAAAAATATGGACTATAGAGTAATCCTGGCTGAGATGAAAAAAGTCTGTTTTGTGATATGTGATTGATATTTCTAATGGAAGGTGTAACATCAGGTGGAGAGGGACCTATGATATCATCCTCAGCATCATCCTTAGAACTGTCATAAGTTATGTTATTTTCATCAATGTTGGATTTCATCCTTTTTTCACATGTTCTACTAGCTTTTGAAGATGAAGACATTTTTTCACAATATTGGACACTGAAGCTAACACTCTTATTTGGTTTCATGGAATGACATATTTGTTGCAACTTTTGTATATTCTTAAATTCAATCTGCTCTTGCCTTTTTATACCAACTTTGTTTCTTTCTTTTACAGTCATTTGTTTATAAACCTGTCTACCAGTCTTCCAATCTCTTATATTTTTACATAAAGGTACAGGTTTACAAGGTGTGATGGTAACATGCTCATCACCTACTATTGAAAAATGCAGTTTTCTGTCCTTGTCTATTTTATCAAGAATATCTCCGGAGTTAATAAAGTAGTCGTCTGCTGGACAAATAAAGCCTCTCCATTTTGCTATATTGTCACTCCAAAGATGACTTTTAAACTCAGCTAACTCAGACAACTGAAAGAAAATTTGTTTGATAGTAATATTAAACTAATATACATGCCAAGGATACACAGAAATGTTAGTAATATAGTAATAACTCATAACTATAATAAGGGTGAGTTTGTAAGATGAAACAAGAATGCACATTAATCCAATCATAAATCTTACACCACCCTCCTTTTGACCCCATGGTAAGTTTTAGCTGTGCTGCTACCACCTCTCAGACCACATTCTACATGTTTATTTAATGGTTACCTCTGCTTGCCTTTCCTTAGTGTAAAAGTGTGAGTTTGCAACTTCTATGTAAGGAGTCTCAACCAGGTCCTGAGCCAGTTCAAATAACTAGTTCAGAGTCTAGTGAAGAAACCATTACAAATACTAAAGGCTGAATAAAAACTAAATACAGGTTTGGGCCAAGTAAATCCACAGTTTAATGATAATTCCAATTAGATGCAAAGATAATTGGCAAATATAGCCAAAGACAAAATAATATAGATCTGCAAAACTGTGGTACTCCAAAATTTGCCCAAACCTGTATAATAGTGAGTAAAAATTATTTTAAGGACGACGATGTGAAGGCTGTAGCAAAAGCATGCATCACCTGATGACGGTAAGACAAAGATGGGTCCAAATAGGAGCTAGGATGACCTCACCTGGTAGGCCACATTCCAATGCAAAGGATCCCCACCTCTGCGAAAACTATGACCAGAGTATTGGTTGCTATCAATACCTAAAAGGTGTAGAGTGTGTTTAAATCAAGCCAAAAAGGCTGGATATGTAAGTGGGGTAACTAAATGTTTGTGTAAATAAATGAATGCAGGACATGGGGTTGTATTATTTAGAACCATATTATGTAATAATAACAATGCCCCTGCTGGACAAAAAGGGGAATCATGAATTCTGGGTAGAGGGATCTCAAGTACTCTTTGTGCATATTGAATGTTCTTAGTTTTGCAGATTCTCAAAACAACACCTTTGGGTTGGAAAAATATATCCTGCCTGCTTAAGTGCACCTTTGGGTCAAACTGGGATGGAGAAGGGATCAAAAGGTTAGACTTCCTAAGAAATGAGAAAAATGCAACTAAAGAAGCTGCCCAGAAAGCCAAGTCCCCAGTACATGAAGGATTGGTGGTGGTAAAATATATCTCAGAATAGATTGGGTGATGGGTAACTTCCTATTGCTTACAGTTCCAAGGACCCTTTTTGCCCCCTGCAAAACAGAATGTACAAAATGACCAGCTAAAGGATCTGGTAATCCTGCTTCAACATGAATTAATTTAATAATAATCAAATAATTTGAAATACAGTTATATTGCAGCTTGTGAGATAAATATGCTGCATTCTCATTTGATAAAGGAAATAAAGGTATTGCAAACATTATACAAAACTGTACATAAGACTTTAAATAAGTCATGTATGTCTTTTTCGTTGATTCCGCAAATGTATTATAACATGTTGATCGAGTTAAGCATACCCCACTCATAATTTAAAGTATCGGAAAACAGGTAGTAGAATATCGAAGTCTGACAGTTCCAAAAAGAGCAGATAAATAACAACTCATCCCTGTTGAGCTACTGACCATGCCAAATGTGAAGTCATTCTGTTCAGTAGTTTCTAAAAAAAGTGTGACCAAAAGTTTTAAGTTCATACAACATATTGAAAAATTCAAAGAATTGGCAAACAGAAAAAAATGAAAACAACACTTTATAAATTTCATGTGTTAGTAGATATCTGACAGATCATTACTAAACAAATGGCTGGACAGACAAGCTGATTGCAATAAGCCCTCATATAATTGTCAACTATACACGATGGCAGAAAATATTACCTAGTATAAGAGCTTTCTGTTCACATGTTGCCACTATTACAAATCTCATAAAAAGTCAAAGTCCATTAATATATAATTCCTGTGATAAGCATTTGCTCCAAGAGCTCATAATACACGTTTATTGTGCACATTAAAATTGTTGCAATAATAAAATGGAATATTTAGAAAGCATTTAATCAGAAGTAAATAAATGTGGATTGTGTCCACATGTGGACACAGATGATGTTCCCCGCTTGCATATCATATAGTTATAAAGGGACATAACTGAAGAACGGTAAATGTGACGCTACCCAAATTTGAACTTGATCTGAGTTTTGTGGTAATAAGCATTGTGTGTAAGTCTCATAACATTTGGTTGAGGCTAACTTAAGTGGAAAACAGAAACTAAAAATTCAGCAATTTTTCTATTTGTTAACACGCATCACTCTAGAACGGTTGTGTATATGTTTAATAACATTTGGTTGAGACAAACTAAAGTTAGAGAACGGAAACAAAACATTCAGCAATTTTTATGTTTATAAAGGGACATAACTCAAGAATGGTAAAAGTGACACAACCAAATTTCGTACTTTATCTGTATTATGTAGTAATAAGCATTGTGTATAAGTTTCATAACATTTGGTTGAGGCAAACTAAAGTTAGAGAACGGAAACCAAAAAATTGTACTTGATCTTAGTTTTGTGGTAATGAATATTGTGTATTATAAGGTTTCATAATGTTTGGTTGGGGCAAACTTAAGTTTCAGAATGGAAACTAAAAATTTTGCAATCTTTCGATTTATAAAGGGGTATAACTCAATAATGGTTAAAGTGACACTACCCAAATTCAACTTGATCTGTGTTTTATCAGTATAAGGCAAAATTAAACATTGCATTGTATAAAGCATTGATTGTAGTTGATTCAACTATAATCATGGACAAAGGAAGATAACACCAAATTTAAAAATTACTTGAATAATATGACATTGATATTTTTAGAAATTACATTTAGTTTTAAGACAAACTCAAGTTAGAGAATGGAAACGAAAAACTCAGCAATTTTTTCATTTGTAAAGGGGCATAACCCTAGAACAGTAATCAAACAGCTTGTAAGCACTGAATGGTAAAGATTGCTTTAATTTATCAGTAGGAAGTAAAATTGAATATTGCATTGTATAAAGCATTGGTTGTAGTTGATTCAACTACCACAATGCACAAAGAAAGATAACTCCAAGTTTCAAAGAAGAATTTGAAATATTTTTAGGAATGAAGGGTAAAAATTGCTTTAATTTATCAGTGGAAGGCAAAATTAAACATTGCATTGTATAAAGCATTGATCGTAGTTGATTCAACTATAATCATGTACAAAGGAAGATAACTCCAATTTAAAAAATTACTTGATATTATTGTACTTATATGTAATATAAGTACTGTTTATACAAACAGCCATTCCAGCTCACACTTAATAATTAATGTGATAATAAAGATGCTGACATTCTGGATACATCTAATCAACATACACAGACCACTTGTTATATCTTGAGGTTAATTTCCCTGGCATTTGACACTTTGAATTTACAACTGGAATCTCACTAGGAGGCACACTAATCCTTTCTTAATCAGATACATGTCATAAATAATCTCTGTTGGTGAGGAAATGCAGATTATGATACCAGATCTTATAAATAATTAACCACTGGACGTTAAGCAACCAACAATCAATCAATCAATCATAAAAAATTAATTACACAACAATTAGTATATTATCTAAAGGTCAGTGAGGCCAGACTCCTCCCACTGAATGATTGATGTACCATATCTTTGTGTAAAGCCATATACATGGTCTTTGTATAATCACTTTCTTGGTTCATAGCAGTCTTGACTAGTTGATATAGTTTTACAGTGCTATTATTTAATTTACCGCCCACCATCCACCTTCCTAACACCTTCAATAATGGTTCATGACAAGGAAAACTTTTCAGCTTTTACTAGTGATATATATTTTATTTAATTAATTTTAATTCCTTGATGGAATTTTATCACTGGTTATTTCTAAAATTTCATTCATCAGCATGCATTTCGGGGACAAATTTTATCAAATTTATTCCAGCGCCTGTTTGATACTGCATATGAGACGCCTACCCTACTGAAAATGTCTATGGGATTCCACTGGATTTCCAGTGAAATTACACTGGTATTCAGTGGAAAAAAATATTCCAATGGAATCCCATTAGAGTTTCATCCAAAACATCTGGAATATTTTTCACACTGTAATTCCAATGGAAAATCAGTGAAATTTCCAATGAAACTTCCAAAGAACTTCCAATAAATTTCCAGTGGAATATCATTGTTTATATTTCAGTGGAGTTTTGATTTAATGCAAATATTCCAGTGGAATTTTGGACTTAGAAATTTAAAGGAATTTATTACTTCTAATTCAAACTTTTCAAGTTAATAAGTGCATGATTATTATATAAAGGATTTAATTTGTAAATATATAATTTGCTGGCCTGATAAGAAATTAAATATTATAATATTTGAGATAAACATTTTCTATCAAATTAGTTAAGATTCTGTTTGATTTAATGAACAAAAACAATTAAGATTCTTTTTGAAAAATGTGCAAGGCCCTTAAAAGGGCCGGTTTTAAACAGATCTGTTGCAGAAATTATCTTCAGTCTGTACGAATTGTTAGGATATATACTCCGTGTTTTTCTTCAAGTGACCATACTGGCAACTGCCCTGCACTATAGACTACATGTATACAATAATATAATTATTTCTCCTTTGACTTCAACATATTCATTCACTGTTACTAGTCAAGTGTTCTTTTGAGAAAAACAAAATTGAACGGGTTTCATTTTCCACATTGTTCTATAAACTGTTTCGGTATCATAACTGATACATGTATCCCAATGGAAAACAATGAATGTCCAATGAAAATCCCGACCAAATTTCCCAGTGGTAATACAGTGGTATTCCAATGGAACTCTGATGGAACTCCACTGGTATTTTCAGTGAAATCCCACTTTACATTTTCAGTAGGGTAGTCTCATCACCAAAGTGGAGAACCCTCGCTTCACATTTCCCGGCCTCAGATGAGACTCCTAGTCTCATCACCAAAGTGGAGAACCCCCGCTTCACACTCCCCGGCTGACGTATTGTCGGGCAGACAGGTTCTTCCTCACATTGGAGGTTGCAAGCTGACT